ATAATATTCTCGCATATAGAATTTACCATAATTACGTTATATTTCTAAGTTTTGTATGTTTAATGAGTATTGAAATCTTTTATCAATAACTTTGAATAGTCCGAATTTACATGTTATACATGATCGTACTGGTCCTGCGCGGCATCACGCGTCGCGCAGCTACCCTAATATTATGATAGGTGTTTCGTGGCTTAATCAAATGGATGTTACTTAAGGTAACAATGGAAGCGTATACGCAGCAGTTTAAGCCTGTTCCAATAATATTACAAGGAAATGACTTGGAAATGGGGTGTGTAAATGTTCTAATAGCTGTGTAGACGTACTAGCAGCATGAAAGCGTAGCTTCCGGAGCGTAGACGCCTCTAAAATTAAAAATGTATTTAAGACCATGTGTTCAAAGTAATAAAACTATCATTCGACTCCATCATTCCATTCCATCATTGAATAAATAATTCGTTCCGCTTTCGATTAAATAAAGTAAATACTTATCTAAAGATTCTCTTGTGAATTGTGTTTTGAATTCGACTTTAATAAACCTATCGAGACTCAATTTGACGAACTGAATTGACTTGTAACTTCGATTCGGCTTATTAAAACACAAATTAAAGAATATTTTAAAGAATATCCGTGGAATAAAATACTGCCATTCACATTGGTGATTTGTGGAAATTGTGTTAAAGAACAAGACTGATGATCAGTTAGCAGATAAGAAAGATAAGCATGTGAAGGCTGTGTCGACAGATCCAGGGAAGCTGAATGCTTTCCAAATAAAATTTTATTCAATTTTGGCAAGATCCAGGGAAGCTGAATGCTTTCCAAATAAAATTTTATTCAATTTTGGCAAGCTGTTGATTGAGTCCGTTGATTGACTCGGGTTTACCAATTTGACATAGAAATTCTACGCATATATTAATAAGTATGTCAGATTATATCGATTTTCTTACGGTGAATCAATACGGACCCGTTAAAATGAATTAAAAATAGGTTAGGGTTGTTCAGGGACCAGGTATTGGACAATAATTACAGTATAAGCAAAATTGCTCTCCCGACATTTTTTATTTGTGCACCAAGAGAGATTTAAACATTTGTTTCTTGTGCAGTTGATACTGTCTAAATGCATACTGCATGCTGTATAAATGCATAATTTTTTAAAAAAATTTAATAGTAATACTGTATATAGTAATATGCATTTAGACAGTAAATTTTCTAGCATTGGATTTGTTAATACTGTCCACCGATGGTATGTATTCAGACAGTAATGACTGTATTTTCAAAGTTTTTTATATCGTAAAAACTTTGGTTAAAGCCCGATGCGTTTATATGTTTTTTGGTCAATCGCAACGTAAAAATTCTTTAGAAAGAAATTAGTTAATTGTTAATATATACTCTATGCCAGAAATATTCAACATTTCATTTTTTTTAATCGTCTAAATTTTTTTTAAACCAAATAAATAAATAAATATAAATATAAATATATATTTACCTGAATAAATTGCTTTCCAAGTATAATTTCACCTTCAGGTCCAGGTTTGTCATCAAAAATAGTTATACAACCTTTTCCTTTTCTTGTACCACTTTCACAGATTGAAGATTTCGGCAATGTAAATTGTACTATTTCATCATCACTCAATGTGACATCAAATGATATATCAACGGGATTTTTCGCAAAAAATCCATTAGATTTTTTTTTGGCCTTTAATAGCCCAAAGAATTCACGAGAAAACTTTCCAAGAGAAATTCTTTCATTTTCAATGTCCAAAATTGAATCAATTACAGTTGAATTAAGAGGTATTCCTCCAACATATAATACATTAATTGACACTGAATAAGTCGACGAATTCGATGATTTTAATGATGTATTATACAGAGGTCCTACAATAAAAATTTTAGAATTAAATAAATTATCTAATATTTAATAACGGTAATAATTACTACTACAAACCATTAACAAATCGAGAATCTAATCCTCCAAATGCAATTGAACCAACTTTACAGTTCCCTAAAGGAATAGCGATTCCAACAACTTGATCTAACCTGGATCTTTGTAATTGATTCCATATCTAAATGATTATAAATGTCAGAAAATTTACATAATATTATAACATAAGTTATGATTAACCTAAATACCGGAGATTTAGCACCAAGTCCCATAACACCTTCAACTGCAGCTTGAGCCCGAAGCAAACCACTTATCTGTTTAGCTAAGATAATTTTTGTGCTCCCAAATTTAGGATTACTATTACTAAATGTATTAAATGTAAGAGAGTCAGCGCCAGATGTTCCAGAAACACTAGATCCGTCCAAATATTTTATTGGTTGACTTTTCCCAAAAGAACTTCTAAAAGATTTTGAACTTTTCGAATCAAAAATATTTTGTCGATTAGCACAGCCTGATCTTTTGCAAAACTGACTGGCTACAACAAATTCAGTTGTAGTTAAATCAAAAGCTACATTAATGAACTGTGGACCAGTTGATTGTCCCTTTCCCTTTCCCTTTCCCTTTCCACTTCCCTTACTCATTCCAGATCCAATTCCAACTGGAAACAACGAAACAAATTTGCCTTTCGAAGAAGTTTTTGATTGTTTAGTTTTAATTAAATTAGATATTATAGCACGAGAACCAGGGCCAATGGGTGGTTTTCTTCGTGACCCAATTTCGTTTCCCACATTCTGAAAAACATCTTTAAAAGAATTTGACTCTGATCCTTTATTATTGTTTTTAATAAACTTAATAATAGGCTTTGGAGTTTTAATTAAATTACTTGATTCTTTAATATATCCATCATAGAAAAAATAAATAATAGTGATGATTATAAGACATGAAATAAAAAATGGTTTGAATTTTCGAACAAGTAAGCTAACCGAAGAGGGGATATCCATTAAAATATAGTGTAATTAATGAGTAATTAGTGAGTAATTTATAAGCATTATTGAGAAATTGAAAACTAAAAAAATGGGAATAAGCCGACTTTATATATTTTTTCAATCGCAACGATAGAATGTACGTACGTACATGTTAGAATAGAATAGAGCAGATCACGTCATTCATGAATTTACAAATTATGAATGAGCAGATCACGTCATTCATGAATTTACATACTATGAATGAGCAGATCACGTCATTCATGAATTTACAAAATCCGACATTGATGATTTACAGATACTGTAAAAAAAAATATGCACATGTTTGTATAGAATACAGTCGGGCACATTACCAAAAATGGGCAATGTAGATCGCCCTTTTTATGGTATAGAAATGCAGATCAGGTGATTC